TGAATTCCTGACTTTTGTGAACATAGTGGTTGTCTTTCTGTCAGACTGAGAGAGGATTGTTTTCCTGCCTTTCAAGTGACTGGGTGAGGAAGGAACCAAGAATTTCAAAATCAGTCAGGATGAGAGGAAGTAATTGAGGAGCTGACAACCTGTGATTACTATTGTATTCAGAGGTGTTTGCTGTCAAATTCAGTATTGTCTGCTTTGTTACTAGACAAGTTACCTTTGTGCTCCCAAATACTTACTCTGAGTGACCAGAAATTTAACCTTTTTCAGTTTCAGCCTGTCAAGTGACTCTGTCTCTGTCTTTCTTTGCGGTGCAGTCATTTATTCTTTTTTTTTTTTTCTTGAAGGCTGTACAGTACTGCAGCTTGTCATATTTGAAAATCGTGTTGAAGGCATCTCAGAAGCTTTAACAAGTATAGTTTATGGTTAGCCAGAGTTTTAGTTGACCAAACAGGTGAGGACAGACACATGTCTATGCCCCTAAATGATCATAGGTTGCTAGTTCATTTGTACATGAAAATTGAGGTGCTGGTTACCTGTACAGCCTATAATGGCCTCTCTGATCTGTTATAATACCTACATTCAACTGGAAAACATCCAAAGGATGAGTCTGTACAAAAGGATGGAAGGGGCACATGGAACAGGGTGAGGAAATTTTTCTTCTTCCAGAAAACCAGCTGAGACTAAGCAGGTCTGGTTTTGTTAATGCAATATTGTGTTTGCTTTTTAAATTATTTTGAGTTTTCTGCAGACTGCAGGTTTGCAGACTTGCTGTCCCTGTCTACATGTTATAGTCATTGTACAATTAACTGAGAACAGCTACATGTGCAAAGTATCTATCATGCTATTAACTGCTCCAACCAGCTATAAAGTTAGATCGCAAAAACATGTACTACATAGCCAGTTGCTAACCAGCTTTAATTTTCACATGTAGCAAGGAATACACTGTATGATAGCAATATGCTTGTCTTCTGGCATCCCAGGTTGCAGTACTCCATCTCTAGTATAAACTTCTTTTAAAAAGAACAAGGAGGAAACTCCTGACCCAGTATAGATCTGAGCCCTAAGTTCATTCCCCATACCCAGCAGCACCCAGCAGGAGAAATACCCTGGCTCTCTCCCCATGTGAGCACAGAGCAGGTGAGCAAGGTCAGCCTTGCTATGCTGGAGCTGAACACAGGGTTTCCTGAGCAGCAGCAAGCATGGGGGAGAATCCTCACCACCCCCCCACCCCATTTTCCCTATACAAGGGCAAGGAGCCAGTGCAGGGGGCCACAGTGCAGCCTAGGTTTCCTGGACAGCAGCAAACTTCTTGTGGGGGAGTCTGCCTGGCTGTATTGCCACCTCCCCTCCTCCAGCCCCCCTCCACCACCCTCACCTGGGCCCTGCTGCTGCTCTGGAGACCTGGGCTTTGCTCCAGCAGGGCAGGATGCCCTCTGCTCCATGTGCACATGGGGGGGAAGTAGGTAGGCGTGCACTGGTAGACATTTTGGGGGCTGATATCGATAGCCGATTTTTTTAAGGAGGCATATTGGTCGACACCGATCTGATTTGCAATACAGCTGAGTCCAGTTGGTAAGTCCATTGTGGTAAAAGAGGAGGGGGAGGCCCCCTGCGATGAGGCAGGGGACTGGGGTTGCGGTGGCTGCTGCCTGGGCGGGGTGGGTGCAGGACAGAGCTGCAGCTCGTCCAGGGGGAGGGCAACTCCTGCCACTGCGTGCCGCTTGTCCAGCAGCTCCTGCTGCTGCTCTTGCCACTTGTTCGGGAGGGCGTGGGGTGAGGGGGGGCAGATCTCTGCGGGGCAGGGTGGGGCAGCCCCACTCCCTCCCTCGCCTTGCTGCCTGTGCTGCGCTGCGGCTGCATGCATGCACAAGCATTCATCAGCCAAATTATCGGCCACTTCAAGCCAATTTCTGATACAGTCAATTTTCTTTATGTTGGTGCTGATCCGATATTGGACCGATGTGTTGGTGCATCTATAGAAGTAGGGGGAGGATTTCTTCTCCCTTCCCTAGTTTGTTTCCCAGGGGAGACCCCAGGGATCCTAGGGGATTACTCTTTAGAAGAGTTAGGTAATTCTTTCAGGGGTTCTGCTGACCAGCAAGAGCTCCTCTAGGTGCTCAGAAGCAGCGGTGCAAGTTGTTGTTCCTTTTTCCCTCCTCCTGACAGCTTGCCCTACACATTAGGCCTGTGCGAAGCAGCAAGTATTTGATTTGGATTTGGCAGATTCAGAGGACAGTGATTTGATTCAGAGGTTTGAATCACTGTCCTGATTCAGTTCAACCGAAACAGATCCAAAAGATTTGGTGCCATTTCGGAGATTTGGCCATAGAGTAAACAGGCAGCTCAGCTGCCTTCAGCTGGTAAATCTGTTGCGTTTGGGGGAGGGAAGGGACGTAGGGGAGGAAGGGTTTGGGCTGGGACAAGCTGCCCAGCTGGGGCAGGGGAGTGGGGGTGCAGGATGTCGGCATGGCAGCTCTTGGAGCGAGGGCTCGGCCCTGCTGCTGCTTGCCCAGCTGGGGTGGGGGCGGGTGGGGGGATGTGGGCGTGGCTTGCTTCAATGGAAGGGGGCAAGTGGCAGCAGGGCATAGCCCCCGCTCCCAGCACTGC